CTCAACCTCATACCCGTATATGTATATACATATATCTAGTAATCCGTAACACACATCATGACATAACCATGTTCTTTCTTTTTAGTCATCCTTTCATATAACACATACTTGCAAAACTTATACCCATCACATTACCATTAAAAACATGATCGCACAAATCGTGCTAACTACTTTTCATTGCCATGTACATCATACTTGTCATCTTATCACGAATAACATGCTTCTATCATTAACAAGTAACTTAACAAATAAACACATAGTCCCATGACCATATTTTAGAAAATGCTACAATTTAATCATATAAACAATTTACACATAAGCATTCTATATATATGCTTCTAAATTTCATACACCTTTCATTTACATGGTCATACATTTAACATATATCGGCATTTAAACACATAAGCATGTAACAAGCAAGCATGCTTTTCAAAAATAGTAAACACTTGAGCACGAAACACTTAGTCAAGGCAACTCAACCTCCTACCTAGTCTAGGTAAGCCACTGCCCGTTAGGGCTGCAACTCGGGCTGGCCTAACTCGAAATAATCTGAGCCCAGGCCAAAATTTTGTGGGCTTGGGCAATGTTTTTCTAATTTCAGTTTGGGCCTTGGCTTTATATTTTGAGCCTGAATTCAATTCGGGCTGGGCTTGGGTTGATATGGATGAAACTCGAAGCCCAACTCAAGCCCGAAAATATTATATATATTTATAATTATACTTAAGCACAAGAGTGTAGTAGTCAAGTTGGTAGTTGCTTGGAATTTATGTTTAAGGTTTTAAGTTCAAGTCATGGGTGCTTCTTTAATTGATTTACTTTTTACACACAAATTCTTCTAAGGTGGGCTTAGTGCGGGCTCGGGTTGGACAAATTATATATTAGCTGGGCTTGGGCAGCTCGGCTCAGGCTGGGTTTGGGCTGAAGATTTTTTATATGGGCCTAGCCCGAGATGAGTGCCAAGCCCGCCCAACCTGCTCGAGTTGCAGCCCTACTACTCGTCGTCCGAATGGTATTCAAATCATGCTCTGATACCAAATCTGTAATGACCCGAACCCATGGATACGAATCGCTACCCGGGTCCTAACCCGACCTGAGGACTCCCTAGGTTAAAATGGTCATTATGCTCCTTACTAAGTGTGAGGAGTCATAATAAGGTCACAATAGTTGTTTCTAACCACATCGGTTCATGAAAAAGGTGAAAACCCTAACTTCGGGTTCACACCGAACCTCTAGGGTTCACAAGGGTAAAATGGTCATTTTGAGTCATAATTATGAAATGATACTAGTACCAATGGAAAGAGGATTCGAAATCTTTCAACCTGAATTCAAGAACGGCACAATTCGGGTTAGAAACAAAGAAGATATGGTCAGTCAAAGTTTAGTCATTAACTAGGGTAAAATGGGTATTTTGATGACCGATCGTGAATGGGTGCGATTGATTATAACTACTTAAGATCGATCGTAAATTATAGACTTAGAAAAATTTCTAACAACCTTGAATATAGCTCTTTATCGACCGATCGTGAATATTTACGATCGATCATAAATCCCAAACCTAGAAAAAATTTCAAAAGCTTCAAAATTGGCTTTTTGTCGATCGATTGTAAATGTGGGTGCGATAGATCATATATCCCCTGAATTTTTCTTCTTTTTTTTTCACCAAAATGCTACGGTCTAGTTACTATGCCTCCATTTTAATAAATGATACATCACTACATCTCAAAATCTGTCCCTAAGCACCCATAAGACATAAATACATAACCAAAATGAATTACAAGCATAAAACAAGACAAAGGGACATAAATGCTCCTAGAATTGCAATTCATTCCTAACTATCCCATTTCATCCATTAGATACAAAAGATATATTTATGATACATAATTACATGTCCAAAAAGAATAAGCGTACGTCGCCTTTTAAACGATTACAAAATGATACAAGTTTGAATCATGTTTTACAAAACTAATACATTAATAAGAAAAGATACAAAAGAAACGATTTTTCAACTTCAACTACACATATAGAGAAATGTCATCGATTACCTCCTTCCTGTGACCTGAAAAATAACAAAGGAAGGGGTAAGCAATAAGGCTCAATAGGAGATGCCTAAGACGCCAACTTTGGACTCCCTTGAGCCACATAACATACATTAGGATTTAGAGAAATCGAGATCATGCTTAGGGGTTTTCATAACATTTGAATCACAAATCAATCTCATTAATAGTATTTAACTTATCACAATATTGCATGGAAATATAATGCAATACATAATCGTCCCCAAACTTGGTCTCTACCGACCCTAACTCATACTTAAAAATCGATAACTGACTTTACTAAGGTGAGATTAAGTAATATCCTTGATTCCAAATCCGGCAACCATTTGGGGCCTAGTAATAAACTTTTCACGTCCTAAACTGGCACGCACTCCTTCTAAGTCGAATTAGCACCGGACTCACGAAAATCTGGTTTATTTTATAAAAATCAATTTCATGCCCTTTCTCTTTCAACCTTTCCACCATGCCACGCATGCAATTCAATTTCATCAATTTGATTTCAATCTCAATTATATGATAATAATGGCACCAACATGGCATTCTCTACACCAAGGAAATAAGTATGGCATTTTCTACAATTTAGCTACAACATTGGCATTTTTTATATAAATATCAACTACAAGCATGTCATTTTCTAAACTTTAGCAATAAACATGCTCCTCATAAAGATCATATCAACCCAATCAAGTTAGCACTTAGCGTAGAATAACAACTTTTTCAATACATGTGAGCATGATTTCACATACATTAACATACCAACATTATCTTGCTCATACTTTACACTAAAGAATAAAAATAGAAGAATTTATGGCATAATTGCTCAATAAAAGATAAAGCTTAGCGCATTAGAAATCTCTACCTCAATGGAGCAAGCCAAACAAGCTCTTAGGACAACCTCAATGGAGCAAGCCAAACAAGCTCTTGGGACAACCCCAATTTCGAAATCCTCAAAACCCTAGCATCAGTGGAGTCAAATGAAAGCTTTTGACAAGTGGAACAAAACTCTCTTCTTGGTCATCATCAAAATCCTACCCTAACTCTCTCAAATGGAAGCTTGAAAACATGGAAACATAAAATGTATAGATATAGAGGGAGAAAGAAAAGAGATAGAGAAAGAGAAATGCGGAAAATGGGAGGAAATGAAGAGGTTGAGCTTGTCTTGCAAATGGTTTTGTGGTCCTCCAAGTGTGAAGTGTCAACCTTAGGTTGGTTACTAACTTTTGCTTAAGTGACCATTGTGCCCTCACTCTTCCATTGCAGTGCCCATCAAGTCCCCAAAATATCTACCTCAATGTATACTTCTATATATATGTGTATGCATGTAAAATGCCAATAATGCCCCTTATTGAAAGTGGCAAAACCGGGAGAAGTTCCCGAGCTTGAAAATCGTCCCGACTTCTGAAAAATTCTAAAAATGATCCTGTCATTTGAAATTGGCTTAAAATAAATAAAAATACATTTTTAAAACCCTCGGCTCAAGAAAATAACCTAAATGGGCCTTTGGGTCGGTGTGGCATGCAAAACAAGGTACAAAAAATAAATAATATAAAAACTCAAAAAAAATTCAGGAAAATCCGGGACATTACACACACCCTCATCGTCAACCATCCATTCCTAGTCAACAAGTAAAAAGTAGGTTCTACCAACTTACGTAAAATGCAATGAATTCCTCAATGACAAAAATAAATGCACACAAGTATATGGAATTCCTCGCAAATGTCGTGAATGATAAATGTGACACTAATGGAATAAATGAAAAGTGTCAAAAAATTCCCGAGTACATGACCCGACTCGGGCCCATACCGCCCGAAAACTCAAAATGAACAAAAAAATAATAGGGAAAATGGAAAAAGAAAACCAATCCTCTCTAATCTGATAACCTAATTATTTTTCTTTTCCCCACGTTTATTTTCTCAAACACCTTTTATAACATATAAACTATGTCTTTTGTTTGGAATAGTTATTATCCCATCAAAATTATCGTTGTGAAATCACAGGAATTATAGCCGTTGAAGGCAGAAAACAGATTATCTCTCTATTTTTATTTTATTTTATCTTTGTTACTCCAATATATGTTGTTTAATCAAAGGAATGAAACACACACACACACACATATATACTTTGTGGAACATTGTAAGTTCGCAACTTTTGGAGAATTATGGATATTTATATATATTTTTTATTATAAAGATATGATATATAAGAATATAAGAAAATAATAAGATGTATGTAACCAACTTTTTGGTTCCCATTTTTTAGTTCATAGAACGTATTATACATGTACATATTTATATTCGTATTTTTACGTTTTTATTTTTTTTAATTGAATTTTTGTAACATATTTTTAAAAAAATAATAAATCAAATTATACTCATAAGTTTTTGTATTTGATTTTTTTCCACATGTATTTTGCTAACTATGAACACAATCACTATTTGATCGGTTGGACCATCCCCCATTATTATTTGAAATTATCTAATTTTTTTATATTTTTTTCTTCCTAATTTTTCATATTTTCTTAGAAAACATAAAATAAACTAGAGAAGTGATAGGTCTTCCGACCTCAATTGCCGACTCATTCTCCGAATACGACGTGGTTGGAAATGAGTCGAAAAGAAAGAGATATTTACGAAATTTTGTTTTAAGAGTTTTAACGTAATTCAATCACGTTATATTCGAAAGATAATCGACGATTGAAATCGAAAGACCTATCATTTCTTAATAAACTATCCTCCCTAATCTCTCTAATTCCCTAAAAGTGGTTAAGTGACGTTTACAAAAGTACCAAGTGTTATTCTATGGCTTAATTAGTAAACTACCCGGCTTGAGCGGGTTTATCGGTGTTTGAGTCCCCTTTCCATTTTTTGTGACAATAAAATAAAATGAATTTACCAAAGTACAAAAGGTTTCTACTATTTGCCTTATCTTAAAACGCACCGTTTAAGTCGACTCCGCAAAACGCACCGGTTTTATGATTAACTAGCAGCAAACCCCATTCTTTCAGGTGGCTTTCACTGCTCGCGAACTGGAAGATCCTAACATCAATCACCAATGGCTGCCATTTTGGCTCGCAAGTCTCTCTCTGCTCTTCGCTCTCGGCAGCTCGTAAGCTCTTCTTTTCAACTCTACAAATATCTATATCTACTATATCTATATCTATATCTATATCTATATCTATATCATATATGCGAACAAATTTTAAACATGTAATTGCTTATCCACTATTACCAAATCAAACCCTAACTTGGGATAATTTTCTCATTTTCTTTTACCTGATTGAGACCTTATGAAATCGGAGTAATTCGTCACTCCGAGTTCAAATTTGATTTTTAGGGTTTCAATGTTTTTAACAATTTCAATCATGCAATGTTTGGGAGCACGGAATCATGACATTGGAATTGGTGAAACCTTATGTACTAGTTTTTCTTCAATTCCAATTCCTCCCCTGAGAAAATGATTCATCTCAGGCATGGATATTATAATTCTCAGTTTGTAACAAAAAGAATTAAATATTCTGAAGCTGAAAAAAGGAGGATTGATAGAGGTTTGGAAGCCACTGCCAGGCTGATTTACAATCTATATGGAGTGGGTTTTATCCCCACAGTATCATTATCTTGATTAATGCTGTTATTTTAATCTTTATGATCATCTTTATGGAATCAAGACATTGGAATGGGAGAATACATTGAACTAATTTTACTTCAATTCCGATTTGAAGGCATCCATTCGGTGCTCCCAAATGAAACATCAGTGAAATTACTTGCCAAAAAATAAATAAATAAATAAAGGATTCAAACATTCGGATTATGTAAGAAGATTCATATCCTATAACTTCTGAAGCTGAAAAAAGGGAAAAATGCGCATCCTTCGTAGAGGTTTGGAGTCACTGCTAAGCTGATTCACAATCTATATGGAGTGGGTTTCATTCTCGCAGTATCATTATTGTGATTAATGCTGTTATTGTAATCTTTATGATCATCATTTGTTGGTCATTATTATATCTATAGTCACCGTCTTCATATTGTCAGTCTAATTATGTGAAAGATTTCTAGTAGTATGTCGTATATCCACTGTCACTATGACTTGGAAGGATATTCTTTGATGCCTCCTCTCCTCCCTCTTCTTGTACATGTTCGGTTGGCTAAACTGATTATCTTTTCTTTTCTTTTTTTCTCTTTACCTTTTTGGGTAAAATTTATAGGCTTTGGCAGGACAAGTATTGCAGCATCATAACAATTATGGGATTGTGTTTGGTACACGCTCATTTGCCACTAAACAGTCATTTTCCACCGATAAAGGTATGCTCTATGCTCTCAAGTTTGTCCATTTTTTGATCTCATGCATAAACAATATACATACTATATTAGCTAGACATATGTACACATACATACATATACATGGGAGTTTAATACTAAGCGTATTGTCAACATTGAGACGAAATATTTACAAACAGCCATATTATGTACATTCCTTATAGGTTGAAAGATAGGAAACGCAAAATGTGTCATATTAAAGTTTGTAGCATCCATCCTATGACCTGTTGCCCAATTAACTTTTGGTCTTATGATTAAAAACTATGTACTAAAGAAGTTTAATGGCTAACTTTGGCCTTAGTGACATTCCTCAGTCCTATGACCTGTTGCTGAATCATTCCAGAATACTTATGATAAATTAGTGCCAGATTCACTAAAGCAATTTTTTTTTATTTAAATTAAGATAGAAATTTTAATAGTTATGTAGCCCAATGTTTTACTATTTCACACTCAAACTAGACCGTTCACTCTTAGTAGTTATATTTGGTTTTTTGGGTGTGTGAGTTTCTTGCCTGTGAAAAAAAAATAGTTTCAGCGTTTTACAACAAGAACCAAATATTTGTAGTTTTGCATGTTAGGAAAAGAATTTGCTAAGACTTTTCCATCTTGCATGTATTTTATGGCCCATAATCATTCTGAAGTGTGCATTTATTCATGTATATATATATATTTTGATATGTGTGGATTTATTCATATATAAAGGGTAATGGCGACATCATTTTATTGTATGTTTCAACTATCAACGAGGTTCATGATGTGGTTTTGTCTCACAATTGTACACTGAATATGAATTTGGGAAATGATTAATTTGAGAAATGCATTAGTAGCATGTGAATAACATTTCAATTTTATTTATTTATTTATTATTATTATTTTTTTCTAGTTAGTTTTTACTGTTTTATAATGTGTTACACTGGTGAATCAATTGTTTGAAATGGAGAAGCTTAATAATTCAGAGACTTTAGGGTACACTTTTCCAGAGAGATGTATTTCAGGTGGATATCATTCCTTTCGAAGTAGATTGAAGAGGAAGAGAAGAATAGCAAAACAATTTAGAAGTTTGCAATTGTAGTTTGGATATGGAACACAAATAACATGGCCAATTCTTGGAGAAGCATTGACATAATAATATAAATAAATATTTGTACATGTATATTGACTATATTCATTTATGTCATAATGGTATACTTTTGGTTGCTTTATGAAAAATTCTATGCTAAAGTTTGCATGTGGGAGGATGAGTTAAACAAATATCATGTATATAATTCTTTGCTGTATACAAATTATAGTATATCTGTATTATACTATTATGTCTCCTTCTTAGAGTTATGCTCCTTTTTTTTCTGAAAAATAAAATAAAATAAAATTAAAAGTGTGCTTTTAATGCTTGATTTGTTTTCACTGCATCTACAATATTAAAATTCTGTTGGAGGGGAAAAAACTTAAAGACACATTTAGAATGAGTCTAACACATTTGTAGAAGTTGGAAAGTGTCACCAACAAGATGTCAGACACAGTCACATGATTCCTCATAAGAAGTATCCGTGCTTCCTAGTTTTTGGTGTTTATTACTAATGTTTGAAAGACATAAAAATTGAAGAGAGAAATTAAACATGAAGAACACAAGGATAGACACACAAAGCCCAAAGGGCTACATCACTGTTATTATATTCTCTCTTAATAATGTTTACAATCAGGACCTTTATTTATAGGTGAAAGAATACAAGTGATAAATATGGAAACTACATTGATGGAAGATTTCTGAAATCAATCCCATAAATCACTCCAATCAATATTCTATCATAGGCTTAAATCACTCCTAGGATATTCTCCAACACTAATGATAGGGTATTTTGCCTCCTTGATAATTGGATTTTTGATGTAAAGCCATTGCACATGTAAACTCATGCTAAAATGGAATTGTTCTGCATCAATGTCATCCTAAATATAGTGATGCCAAAGCAAGATTTTATTGTTTTATTTCCAGGAACTTGTCCATTCATGATCAGAAAATCCTCAAAAAATCAGATTCTTATTGTTATTAACTTGCTATCAGAACTCGGTGTGAGAGGATTTAAACAAGGAGGCCAAAATATATGAATATTTAAATTGTGGTTGACGGAGATGTATGAAGCAGCAGGGGAAAGCTTGGTGTGATCTTTAAAATAAGGGCTACAAGCATCTTTTTAAAGAAATTTCCATACTTGTGGGGGAAAATTGTCAAGTAGGTTCCGTTTGTGAAAGGAAAATGGGTAGGTTGTTAACCAAATTTAGGTCTACCTAACGCCTCTCGCCTTAAACAACACCCCACCGCCCCCCCCCCCCCCCCCCCCCCCCCCCCCTTCTCCACCCCACCTCCCCTCCTCCCTACCTAAAATCCCAAACCCAAAGAAACACACGCAGAGACAACTTGTACCCTTTTCACAATTGACCCAACCAAGTGTTTTCTTTTCTTTTAGTGTATTCTACAAAGTCCATAAAGATTGGTCAACTCAATGGTTTGCATTTAGCTTTCATATATTTTCATACACTTGGAATGAAGCTTTCTGTTTTCTTTTTAACTGTAAAATAAGCTTCAGTATCTGCTAAGAAGGATTTTTTTTTGGATTTGCTCCTGCTATGGAACCTGTATGTTGGAATGCATGCGCTTGTATTGTTACCAGGCATGTCTTTCCCTCATTTACGTGCCTCTGTTTTTAGTTCAGTTACTCTCTATTTTACTATACTTCTAAACTTATTTACTAGCCTTTCCATAGATACAATTCTATGTGAAAATTAGTAGAAACAACTAAATCAATAAAATATTACATTCATGTGAGAGGCAGCTTCATAGGTTGCATATTATCTAGTTTAGCGATGATTTGTTTACTTTTCTAATTCCTTTTGTGAGCTAAGAAGCAACTGTTGCTAATTATTATTGTTAGTCTTATAATTATTCTTTGGACTAGGATCCTCGTCTCTCCCCTGTTTTCCCTAAAACTAGATCCGAGGGTTAAAAGAATGCCATGTCATTTGAGTAACTTACACTATAACACTACACTTATTTTATGCCAAATGTATTCTTAACGTTTAATGGAAGACCTTTCATATCAGACCAAAATTTCCAACCTTTTTAATGCTTCAATCTTTTTCTGAAATTTCCTCGATTTATCATCTCTTCTCAATCTTCTCTTAACAGTTCACACTTTGGTTTGACTCTGTATTTGAGATCAGATTATAGATTTGGGTGTTTCAAATACCTAGGTCAGTATTTGAAGAACATCTCTCTTGTCTCCATCAAAATCCAAGTTCTGTTGCCCAGAACAACTATGATCACGGTGGCCATTAATAATGCTATATCTATGATAGGAATAGCAAACCATTCATTACATATCACCATTCTTTTATTCCCAATACACCTGTAATTCATCTTTGTTCAATTCTTATAATGTCTGACAATTGCTATAAGGCCAGAGTCTCTACAAACCCTAGAGCCCACCTTTTCATCTGTTGCTATCTTGTCGGGGAATTCTTCTGATGGATGGCGAGATGGCATAGCAGAGAGAGATCGATAGATATTGAAGCATTTTTTGAGTGAAAAAAATCTGAATAAAGAATTCTTCCTTTAACATTAGGAATCTGTTTGGTGCCCAAAATGGTGTAGTGTTGTTATGTAAGTTACACAATGACATGGCTTCCTTTCAAATCCTTAGATCTAGTTTTATGGAAAACAGGAGAGAGATGCCGCTGGAGAGGATCCAAATACATTATATATATGTGATATTGTGTGGGATTTGGATCCTCTCCAGTGGCATCTCTCTCCTGTTTTCCGTAAAACTAGGTCTTAGGGTTTGAAAGGAAGCCACGTAATTGTGTAATTTACTTACAACACCACCTGTTTTGGGCACCAAACAGATTCCTAATGTTAATGGAAGACTTCTCTGTACAGATTTCTTTCACTCAAAATATGCTTCGATATCTATTGATCTCTCTCTCTGCTATGCCATCTTGCCATCCATCAGAAGAATTTGCCGACGAGATAGCAACAAAGGAAAAGGTGCAGGCTCTAGGGTTTATAGAGATTCTGGTGTTAGAGCAATTCTCAGACATTATAAGAATTGAACAAAGATGAATTAGAGCTGTATTGGGAATAAAAGAACGGTGATATGTAATGAATGGTTTGCTATTCCTATCAGAGATATAGTGTTATTAATGGCCACTTTGATCATAGTTGTTCTTGGCAACAGATCTTGGATCTTGGATTTTGATGGAGACAAGAGAGATGTTCTTGAAAATACCCAAACGGCAAACCTGACCTTAGGTATTTGAAACACCCAAATCTATAACCTGATCTCAAATACGGAATCAAACCAAAGTGTGAACTATGGTTGAGAGAAGTGATGATAAAGCAAGGAAAATTTCAGAAAAAAGATCGAAGCATTAAAAAGTTGGAAATTTCGGTATGATATGAAAGGTCTTCCATTAAACGTTAAGAAGACATTTGGCATAAAATAAGTGTATTGTTATAGATTAAGTTACTTAAATGACATGGCATTCTTTTAACCCTTGGATCTAGTTTTAGGGAAAATAGGAGAGAGATCTCTCAGGAGAGTATCCTAGTCCTTATTCTTTTTTGTTTATGGTGAACAAGTGGCTTGCTGATTTTCCCTACCGAAAGAAATAGTCAATTTCTGATTTTCAGTTTCCTTATTAACATTGAAGCCGATGTCCCCTCATTCCACTATGACTTCCAATAGCATTGGCCTTTTATTTCATGTTGTTAACCCCTGCTGAATTGAGGTCAGTTGCAGAACTTGCTTAGGCTCAATGAACCATTCTGTTCCTGAAGCAGTAATATGTAGCACCCTTCAATTACCAAGTAATTAAATTTTAAGCGCAATTAGCATTGCATACAAGTCCTTTTAGCTCGGTAGAGGGATCTGTTATTTCAATATATTATTACCATTACCATTTTCATTGTCTATGATATCTTCAGATCCTTTGTTTCAAGCATAGTTTTGTATATCCATAACTACTATCAGTGATTTAAAAGTATTATAATTATAGATCAGGAAAATTTATACATTTCATTGGTACGTGCACGAGGGTTATTCACTATTTACGGATTAAATATATTTATTTTTTTTGGGTCTAAAACTGCAGATGATTTAGAAAGGGAGAAACTCGCCAAGGAGATCTCCAAGGATTGGAATTCTGGTAAAACCTTTTGAGAAGTGGTCCTGCATTTTTGTCTTTGCATTTCGATTCTACTACTGTTTCCTCTGTATGTAGTTTATAGTTAGCAATGCTTACTGATTAATTGCAGTGTTTGAGCAAAGCATAAATACATTATTTCTCACTGAAATGGTTCGTGGTCTGATGTTGACACTCAAGTACTTCTTCGACAAGAAAGTTACTGTAAGTTCTATTCTCATTCTCCGTCATAAATTATGGACGGCTGAAGTCTGAAACTATCTTTTGTGATTCAGATAAATTATCCATTTGAGAAAGGTCCTTTGAGCCCTCGTTTTCGTGGAGAACATGCCCTCCGACGCTATCCAACTGGAGAGGAACGGTGCATTGCCTGTAAATTGTGTGAAGCTGTAAGAGTTTAACTTTTATGATTTTAAGTTGAATAATAAATAAAGAAAAGCTTGCTAAAAAGGAAAATGAACCGGAGATTGTTGTAGTGATTTCTATTATGCTTAGTGGCAGGTCTTCTCAAGGAATGGGCATTGCGATCTTGAGAAACTAATTTTTAGAATAAATGATGTGAAATATTCTTCTCATACTACATTAAACTAGGAAAATTCTAAGATGGAGACGGAGAATTCATGTGTCCAACCCCATTCATATGATATTGAGGCAAGGATGATGATGATACTATATTAAACTAGTTAGATTGCTTTACATAAAGCAGACTAGAGACAAGTGATGCATGTACATAATCCCAACTAGCTATGATCAAGGCTAGTTGAGTTGTGTTGAGACTTGAAAATTTTATCGTTACAATGTAAACTCAAAAAATCATTCCCTACAAGGGCACTCAATTAAGTTGAGATAGTTTAGTGAGTCTTAGCAAGATTGCCCTGGTATTAGAATCATCAATCAATTTGACTTCTATAAATGACAGGTGTTGATCGTCTTGGTATTAGAATCCTCATTGGGGCCTTTTCTATATATATATATTTTTTTATTATTATTTTTTTGTGCGGCTTAAATTTGTTAGGTTTAATTGAACTGTTATGCACTAAACTTCGACATCTTGGCGTTGGACAAATAATGACGACATTATGGGCTGATGATAATAATAGTCAGCTCGTGTATATATTGCACAAGTGTTCTTTCTCAGAAGCTTGCAATTGGCTATACTCTGGATTTTAGGGTTGGCATTTTTTTCGTAATCAAAAAGCCATTAATTTCTGCAATGCTGACTCCAGAGTCCCGATCTCAACTACATCTGTCATGTGTTCATGTAGTCCTTAGTCTTGGGGATTTTTCTTCTTTCATTTTCTTGCCTATATTATTCTTTATATATTTTTTCGGAAACCAAATTTAATATATCGGAGTTCAATTAATTTCCAGTATAAGTTTTAAGCCTCAGTGAGGCTCACATCTATCTAGTTTAATATGCCTTTGCTAGTTAGCGTATCCCATGAATGTTGGTTGTATAACAGATTTGTCCAGCTCAAGCAATCACAATTGAGGCCGAGGAACGAGAAGATGGAAGCCGTAGAACCACTAGGTAAAAGATTTTTGCTTGTTACTCTCCTCTCTCTTGCTCTCTCTCTCATAAGTTGGATTTTGCAGGTACGATATTGACATGACAAAGTGCATCTACTGTGGATTCTGCCAAGAGGCGTGCCCTGTTGATGCCATCGTTGAGGGGCCCAACTTCGAATTTGCGACAGAGACTCATGAGGTCAGTTAGCAAATTCTTCCTTGATAGCCAGCTGTGACACCGGTTTAAGAAGGAAGTGACTCGTGTATTCCTCATTGTAGGAGCTTTTGTACGATAAAGAGAAGCTACTTGAGAATGGAGACCGATGGGAAACCGAGATAGCGGAGAATCTCAGATCGGAAAGTCTCTATCGTTGATGCTCTGATGAAGTGATGATTACTTCTCTGTTCCCTGCCTACCTTGTAGTTGAATTTTCCCGAGTTCTAAAACTGATAAATAAGCAGATCTGTTGGTGGGTCTTGATTATTTTTGGGATATAATGCAGTTGATTGACTATTTAACTTTTCTTGTTAAATTAGTGTACCCTACATTCTGAAGGATTAATCAACCTTGGTAATGCAAGGTAAGTTTTTGTTTTGTAAAATTGATACCAATTGCAATTCATTCTTCCTGAGTACCGAGACTGACTGGTGGCACTTTCAACAACTTTTTAATTTACAAATTACCAATTTACTTTTGTTGTTTTGAAAAAGAAAAAAAAAAAAGACGTTTTCGAATAATAGTGTGCATGGGTGAGTGATTAACTGATTGTGGCAATCTTTTACTCTATAGTTGCTGAAATTGTGGTGATACCCTGGCAAATTACAGGTTATTTTTCATTCACAAGTTGGTTTTGTAATTTAGCCCGGTTTGGATTCAAAGAATTTGAGGGCATTACCCGGTCTTGTTAGTAGAGCGCATAGCTTCCCGTGCGAGTGCGCTCCTGTTTGAGTCCCTATATTTGACTTTTGTGTGGATTATGGACTTTGTATAAGAACTTGAAAGGGTGTGAGATGCAGATTTGAACACTCCGTCTTGAGCATCGAAACTGAGGCATACATGATGCTTTCTCATGAATGACGAGTAGATGCTTAATTCGCCATGTTACGATGTTGGAATTTAAGTTTAAAGCTGTGTTATACAAAGAAATTTTGCATTGTGTTGTTTTAATGGGGTAATATTGCGGGTTTTTTTGTTTTATTTATTTATTTATTATTTATTTTTTATTATTATTATTATTATTATTATTATTTTTTTTTTTTTGCCAATCAAATCACCACTACATAACAAGATTACATAAGCCTTTCTTGGCTAATGTAAGGTTATCAACATACAAATATTCGACAAACATAGCATACATGAGGTCAATCCCTGAGGCTTTAATATTAGCCTGGCCAACAGAACTTGCTCGACAACATATAAGTGAAAACAGAGCGAGATGGAGCCAAGATATTACAGCAAGAGTGATGCTCTCAGGAGCTCTAAATACATCCTCTTTTCCTCAAGCCAAGTTTTGCACTAGACCACCAATATCTACTTGACCTTTCACCATGCCTAGGGATGGCAATTTGACCCGCCCTGCCCTGTTTTTGGCGATTTTGGGGGATCGTTTTGCTTATGTGGGAGGGGATGGTTTATGTAATAAAAACCCGCCCAAATTTGGTGCAGAGGCGGGGGGGGGGGGGGGGGGGGGGGGGGGGGGTCGCCCCGTACCGCCCCGCCCTGTTTAGATAGGCAAATTGCTTAAGTACCTTTATTTCAATAGTATATATATTTACCACTATATATTAAGTACCATATATAACAATATTAAAGTAACAAATGAATTTGATTAAAATAAAAGTTGCAATGGTGAAGAATTGAAGACGAGGGGAAAAAAAAAAAAGCAAATCTATTTCAACAATAAATAAATTATGGTCTTAACAGGGCGGGGCGGGGCGGGTACCTGCGGGGGTAAAAATGTTAAACGGTTACGAGAATGGGGTGAAAAGTTTTCCCGTTTTTGCTGTTGTGGGCGGGGACGGGAGCAGGGGCAGGGTTTTTAAACTGTTGTGGGGGCTAAGAAGGGTACACCCGCCCAAACTCGCCCCCGTTGCCATCCCTAACCATACCCAGCCAAGGCGGTTGCCAAACTTGGGTCATTGCAAGTTGCGAAAATCCACCAGCAAGTAAAACACATTGGAATTTAGCTTCAAGAGTAGTTCAATACCCATTACATAAATTCAACTCCACCGAATGGTCCCTTACGAAGATAAGAGAATCACCATAGGGATCACACATAAGGGTTGAATAAAGGACATAACCCACTCGAGAAGTGGGCTCAATAGAGTCAACCCAATCAGTCAGTGGGTTAATATTTGCAACTTAGCCTAAGCCCACTATTGGAATGGAGATAAAAATAAAGAATAAGCCAATAGGGTAAACCATAAGGCCCAATGTCCAGGGCCCCAGCAAACCCATACTAGAACCTTCTAGTAGTATGTGGTCCAAAAAGTAAGCGTATACTATATGCTAGTCATGCAACATAAACAGCACCAGTGATGACATCGTTGCTACTTGCCTGTACAATATCCCAAAGCATTTGTGATCACAGTGAACCGAATCCGACGAGGGTGATGAAAAAGATAGCAAAGCGACTGGTGACCGTACTCGGTCCGCTTGTCCAAGATACAAGGAGACCAAGATAGGGTAGACTTTCGTATGGATAGCAAAAGAGGAAAACAAACAACACAACATCAGACATAGAACATTATATCCAAAAAAGAATCAAGAAAAATAGTAGAAATACCTGAATCAAACGGAAATATTGTTAAACAAAGGACATCAAGTGTGCCACTGTTCCAAATTGCCTATGAGACAAACAGAAGCACACAAGAATCCATCCATCCAGACAAATAATATGAGCTTCTTCTAGGATTGTGGATGATAGCCATTCCCTGCAACACACTTTTGGAAAGAATTCCAAACTCTGATGAGAACCTCTACGTGGAAAGGAATAAACAACTCTGATGAACAAAGGATTAGATAACTTGATCAAATTTTGAAGAAAGGTTCGAGGATCTGAGCAGAGTTCGGGTTTCTCTCTCTAGATGTTCTCTCTAACCCACTCTCTCCCTCGTGCTATTGAAAGATTATAGGTATGTGATATTGGAAAATTATTAGCTTTTATGAAGAAATCAGGATAAAAGATAATTACCAAGTATCCATTAACCTAGATAGAAAGTGGGATGGAGAGAAATACAAGGTGGTCTCTCCTATTGTTAGAGGTGTCCCATATGAGATTCGAATATGAGATGAAATGAGTATAAATGGATGGGTATGTAATAGCAATAACTTAAGTTTTTGCGTCAGCGTGCAAACGTCTACCTGTTACAGTTAATATTAGAGTCAAACCTAGGTCTTAATACGATGTCATACCAAGTGCTCGACTCAGAATGGTCCGAGTTGTCACCCCAAGTAGGTAGGGTGGTCCGATCGCAAAAAAGACATTGAAATTTGATGAATTTATATACAATACTACCCAATAACTAACTTAAACCTTTTGGATCAGCGGCAGGCAAGCATCCACCCTTTATGCCTATCTCTACCAATAAAATTTCCTACTTTTTCTTAGAACTTTAATTTCATCTCTGAGTGGTGCAGGTCTCAGGGGTTTGACTCATAAGGGCTGGCTTGGTTAAGGGAATCGGCTGAGGTCTCTAATCAAATAATTCAAAATGTCTTCTTTGACATAGAAATCTAAAAAAAAAAAAAAAAATTTGCAGGGGGAGTAACATGAAGCTGAGAATTATGATGGTTGCCTAGAGGTGCAGTAGTTGACCGAACATCTAATCAAAGTGACCGATATATAATAACAGACAGGGTATAATAATAATTCGGATGTCATTCTGGAAAAAAATAATGAACTATAAGAAATTCTTACTACCAATACTAGGAATGTCATCGTCTCTGTAACTTAGTGATTGGGTTGTTTTTTTTTTTTTTTTTTTTTTTTTTCTGGAGGGTCCAGTTTTAAGCATTGGCACTTTTAACTTTTAATTTAATATTTTTATCCTAAAAAATAAATAAATAAATAAATAAAACTATCCCAATTAAATTAACCAGTTTATTTGTTAAACCTGTGATTCAATTTCCAAAAAAAAAAGCTTAAAATGATGAAATTCAGCAAGAAAGGGAACAAAAAATTAATTGTTGCTTCTCTCAAATTACCATATTTTCCCATCTAATTGGACTTTAAAAAAAAAAAAATTGCATATTTTCAAATTTTATGCATTCAACACAATGAGAAGGTGAAAAACCCTAATTTTCATAACTTCCAAAAATCTAAAACTACTAATGGACATTAAAATGTCAAAGAACATTACATATGTTTTCAAAAATAAAATAAATTAAAATAAATAATTTTTTCTCTAAAAAATAATGCTACTTTTAAGAAATTTAAAATAATGAAGACACGAGAATATTATTTTAGGATGTTGGAATCGTGACACTTCAATTACACTTTGGCCTCGTAGCTTTCATTGATTTAATCTAATTCTCGATCTCATGAATTTCATTAATGTAGACTTCCATGGAGCCACTATAAAAGGAGCATTATTATTATTTTTTTTTTCAAAATCATCCTCAAAGAGTTTATTTCTAAAGGCTCAGCTAAATCCAATGTTAGGTGTCAATTCCCATGAATCTTTACATAAGGTTATGGTAAATCATTTGTGTTGTATTAAGTCAATATTTCAATTCTCATTGATTCATTTCAGAAATTAATTTTTAACATAGCTCTCAAAACAATGAGGATCGAAAATCGGGCACCACATCCTTAAATATTTAAATTATTACATAAAATGAAGGTGATATAATATTTTAATTTTGTCTAACAAATATTCATTCTCTCTCTCCCCTTTTTCTCCCACTTTTCTTCGGAAGCAACTCCTCCCATCACTAATTGTTTTTTCTTTTTATTTTTTAATCTATACTCCTTAACACTGATGCAATGACTGAACGAGGCCCGCCCAATCTCTAAGAGATATCAAATTGAAGAATAGTTTTGCCCTTTGGTTTTGCCCAAAAATTATGAAAAGTAATCCCATTAAGAGAGTCCCCTGTGACAAGAGTAACGAACTCTTTAATTTTTTTTCCCCTAACTAACTCACTCTCTAATTTTAACAACTTTTAGAAATAAGTCATTTTTGAGATAAAGAATAATCTTTTTCCCAATCAATTGTCAAATAGATTTGTATGTAAAGCTTTTTTAGCTTCTGTCATTGATGTTTGTTCAACAATAAGAGAAGAAAGAGAACTTAGGTGTTGCCTAAACTTCTTTTTGTTATCAATGAGATGGGATTTCCATGCTCCATTGAGTTCATCATAAATATCGTTTGGAACACCAAGATTGTAAAAGTTTTTTACATCCTAATGGGTTTTTGAAAATATTTTTTAAGAGGCCTGACCCACTTTGTAGAAAGCTTTTTTGGCTTCTTCAAGGGGGTCGTAAGGCTTGAAGCATGATCCCTGATATTTGTTTATCTGGAAATTACATTCGTCCCATGTTGTGTAGATTTCTGGTTGGAATCCGGCAAAGACTGCAAACCATTTGTTTAATGGTTGTATCTTAGGTGTGGCTAGTT